TTCCATTCCTTATTAAGCTTTTAGCAGATAAGGAATAAAAGCAGAAATAGAAAAAAATAGGGCAACTCTTAGGTTCTTCTAGGTTAATTATATAGATATTAGAGCGGTTTTCCTAAGCGTTAGAGCAGTACGCTACTATAGATAAGCGCTTATTATAGGCTCTTATATAGGCTTTGCAGGTTTTAGATAGAAGATTTAAAATATTAGCGCCTTACTATAGCGCTAATATATTATAGGCTAGTTAATAATTAGCTATAGACCTCTTACCAATAACTTAGAAAGAGGATGTACCTATGCCTTTACTAACTCTTAGGTCTCTAGCTCCTACTCCTCTATTATTACCCTTATACTAGCCGTTAGATATATCTATACCGCTAATAACCCGCTAGTTAGATACGTCTTTATTAGTACTATAAAGGTAGTTAGCGCGATTAAATAGAAGTAAACGTATATAAAGAGCACTATAGGAAATTAACGGCAACGCTAATTAGTATATAGCGGGCTAATATTAGGCGAGGTTAGTTAATATTAGGCGGGGTTAGCTAATACTAGGTAAGTTTACCTTATATCCGCTAAGCGGATATTATAACTATAGTAGCTAATATCTATTAGGATAACGCCCCCCCTTCCCCTTATACCCTATACCCCTAGCAAGCGCGGCCTAGGAACTAAATAGATTAATTAATTAATAATATTAATTACTTGGGAATATATACTAGTGCTACTAACTATAGCGGATATTAAATAGTTATAGTAATAGCTTATAGCTAATATCTTATATTACTTATTAAGTAACTTATACGCAGGTTAAAGCTAGGTTTAAGTAAAGTTGGTAGGGAGTATAAAGCTATCTAGCTTATTATTATTGTTATAGAGATTAAGCTTATTAAATATAGCGGAAAGATTACCGCCTAGCCGTAAATTAAACTCATTAAGGGCAGATTAATTAAGTCGTTTAATACCTAGTTATAGTAGAGGCGGCGCTTCTATCTTTACTTGCCGTACCTAATAATAGATAATAAAACCTTTGGCAATTGTATTAGTAAGCAATTAAATATTTGCTACAGGAGATTTAACAGTATATTAAGTAGACATCCGTTCGCCGAATATAATCTTAAACTTTACACGTAGTAGCCCTATATAATTAGTTATATAAATACTCTAGCGGAAGAGTAAGTCTAGGTTAAATGTTAAATTGCCATAAGTGTATATAAGCTGCTTTAGCTCCCTATTAAGTAGCTTATTGTCAAGATCTATTGGGTAATAACTATCCTATTTACCGCGGATATTTACTAGACTATTTACTAGGATAGCTTACTAGAGCTTAGGGGAACAAGCATCTATTAAAGTTAACTAGAAAAAACGTAATATTTCTAGTAGATAGTTCTTATTTTAACTACCTATAAAATAGGTATAAATGTAGGGGAGTATATAGCTAAGCAGACTAATATCCGCAAGCTTAATGGCGTGCTTAAGGACCTTATATATCTCTACTAGTTATAAAAAGCGGACATGCGTTAAAAACTCTGTATTAGTAGGCTTAAAAAGTGTTTATAAGGATATAGTACTACCAGCCTACTTAAGGTAACCCTTTTACTATAGTTCCGTAAGCTAGCTAGTATAGTTAGCCGCCTAAGAGACTTCCTAACCAAAAACCGCTATGCAGATATTCTTAACTACTACTAATAGACGTTGCGGAGATAGGCTTTTAAGGTACCGCTTAATATCTATAGGCGATTTAGTATTATAAGACTCCTTAATCTAAGTATAGAGTAACGCTATAATACAAGCGTTAAAGCTATAGAGAATTAGCTCCTCTATATAATAAAATAGCGCGCGCTTGGCTAGGATATTTCTTTAACCTAGGTGGTTTATATAGGTATACAGCATAGAGTACTCTTAGGCTAATTGCTTGCTACTATAGTAATACCGTATAACTATATATAGGTAGTTTAGCTTTAGGTGCTAAAGAGCTAAAATAAGTAAAGCCTAACGCAGGCTATTATAGGCGGATATTAACTTAGTACGTTCTCCCTAATATAACCAAATAAGCTTTACGGTCTTTTAATTACCATAGATTAGAAACAGTCGCTCCTTAAATACTTTATTGGTATGTTATAGATTTATTTAATAAAGAAAAATATCGTCTAGTACCTTATAGGTTTTAGATATAAAAGCCTCTTTAGTTATAATAGGTTCTAGGTTAAACCTAGACGTTTATATAGCGGGTATTACATTAATAGAAGGTATACGTAATGTTTAAACCGTAGGTTTTTGCTAAGTAATATATTAAGGCCTAGGTACACCTCTATAATGGCTTTATAAATTAAAGCTATTAAGATCTACTTTTATATCTCGTTTTATAAATTACCTAAAGCCTCTACAATATCCAAAAACTTAATTAAAATATCCACACAAAGCATGCTCTATTAAAGCCTACTATTAGGTATACTTATACTAAAGATAAGCTTACTAGTTATGCGCGAATAGAACGTCCTAGTATCCTTAAGTATTTAATACTAAACTCGTTAGAGGTAGTTAAAGTTATTATAGACAATAATAGTATTAGAAGCTGCACCTATTAAGCGGATTTTTACCTATATATAGGTTAGTATATACCTGCACCGCGGAGATTATAGGCTAAACCTTAATTCCTAGGCTATCCGCTCCTTCTGCTAGTTTAAAATAGTATAACTATTAATTAATCTAAGCCTATAGAGCATAGAAAGCACGCGGCGCTTAACGCCGTTAGCTTAAAGATATATCCCTAGCAGCTATAGGATATAGTTTATAAAGTTTTATAAAAGGCTAAATATAAGCGTAGAAGCTATTAGAACCGCACGGCCTTTATATAAAGAATATTTATATTAACCCTCTTAATATACTGTAATTATATGCTTTAGTATAGGTGCGTAAGTCTTTACGGCTTGATAGTACTGCCTAAGGTTAAGCTACTTAATATCCGCATATTAGTTAAAGCTACCAAATAGTAACTCTTTCTCCCTTAGCTCTTTAAGCTCTCCCTAAATAGTAAGAGTAATACTAGCACCCACTATACCGCGCTTCTCTATCTCTTTAGTATAAATATTTAAAATATCAGCATCCTCTAGAAGTTTATTAAGGAGCTCCCTTACTTTTTTTTTCTTTAGTACCTTGCGTAAACCTTCAGCCATTATAATCTATTTAAGCGCTAGGTCTCCTATAGACATCCGCTATAGCCTAAAACGGTTAATAATTACCTAGACCTTCTCTATAGCGGATATCTTCTTGGCGGATATTGCGGATATTATAGGTATTTTATTAACTCTTACTTCTTTATCCTCTTAGGGATCTATATAGTTTGGTAGTAGTAAATAGGCTATTAAGGACCGCCATTAAGCTGCGGATAGCAATAGGGAAGATAATAGGGGAGATAATAGGGGAGACGATAGGGGTGGGACAAGACGGCTAATGCCCTCGGGCACTATATCCGCTGTATCTCTTAATCCTCTAGCGGTATTAGTTAATAGAGAGGGTAGTTTATTATTAAAAGCTTAAGAAGACTAGCTCCTACTAGACGAAATAGAGGGGTTTCTTTAACGCCTTTTAGATACGCCCATGGCTGGCAGTTGGTTCTGGAAAATCCATTAATTAGAGAGCTGATTAAGGCAATTCTAATGTAGGTATTAACAGGATAATAGACATGGCGGTTGCTTACATTAATTTCGTTAAAGTTAATGGTTTGCCTTATATAAACAGACCAGCTTAGCTTCTAAAAGCTTGCTAAAGTGGCTCAGACCAAGAAACAGATGGATCGATCGAATAGGTTAGCTTGCGGATATTCGATTATCCGCGCAGCGGATATTCATCGGTTTCTTGGTCTGAGCATGCTGAGTCAATACATATAGGCGAGGTGACTTCGTCACCTGACAACGGCCCTAACGTCGTCACAAATATCTTTTATCTATTTTTTAAAAGTAAACCCTTTTTATTACTGCCGGAAATATATTATTTAGCGATATTTAAATAGACAGAGACAAATTTACAGTCTTCCCCTTTAGCAAAAAACAGGTTCGCTACAAGCATTTAATTTCGCTAGATTACCACAGCAATCCGCAGTGTCGCGATCTTTGTCAAATATCGTGAGGGTTTTTACCCTGTACGATATTACCAAATTTCATCGACCTCTCTGTAGAAACAGCGTTGTATTCGAGTTTTGGCGGCCACAACGGAGGTAGGTAGAAAAGAGGAGAAGAGGAAGCGGACGTCAGGCAACTTCTTTCTTGCTTTAATTCGATTCTCCTGGCCAACCAAGGCGATTCTCCAGGACAACCAAAAAGGCCCTTGCGTGCAGCCACAGCCGTTCGCTACAATTACCACGTAGAGTTGGTGGCGATTGAGCGAAATTTGATGCGCGTACCGAATTTAAAATTTTGGAGCGCTCCCTAAAGGGGGGGAAGCTGGTCGTGCACAAGACTGAAAGAGTTACAAAGACATTAACGTGGACGGTGTTTTGACCCCTGGTTAGAAAATCAAAATTAGCCGAAATGCTAATTTGGTGGTAAACAACTAACTTAACAAAAGTTCAAATCGGTCATAACTAGGGGAGCAGTCAAAACCCCGTTAACCACGTTATATTAATACGTATCGACGTAACAGGCAAGCATGCCACGGAACTGCCTTTGAGACATTTTCACACTTGCTGGTTGGGCGTAGGTCCATTCGTAATTGTAGCATAACGTAATCCACAAGCAAGTGGCCAGCACAAGCATNTGGCCACGCTACCACGCTACCGCGCTGTTGTGGCAGATTGAAAGCTTGTAAATTGGCCTTGCTTGTGGGCTTTGATAGCTAGAACAAGTCTACCTTTTTGAAAAAGAGTATTCTGCTGTTGTGGTGTGGCTATTATAGATAGTAGTTAAGGAACGCGTCGCGTTTTGGTGGGGCGGCCACATGCTTGTGCTGGCCACTCGCTTGTGGATTACGTTATAGACTTAAAAATTTTACCATTTAAACTGTTCGCATTGATGGTCCGGCGGTAGGATTCTTGCCTTCCAAGCAAGAGGCTCGGGTTTGACTCCCGGTCAATGCATTATTAGGTGAAGAAACTATATCGTTTGAAGACCATTTTTGCCACTTTTCGTTCAGTATATGGGCTCTTTTTATTGAGGGTTAAGGAGTTATATTTGCGATTTGCGATCTTCTCTTGCGCAACCGTAGCCGCTGGAAGATCCCGAGCCCACCGTCAAGGCCGCACGAGGGGCTTCACAATACCACTAACCGCCTCTACACTCATTCCTCCTACCAAGCTACGCCCTCACCGCACAACCTTGGAGACAGGTTCAGCTGCCTTGCCTGATTACGGGAAGCATTCTGATGGGCAGAGTTAAGTCTAGACCTCCAAAACTCTTCCAATAGATGGGTGTGCCTAGAAGGCCAAGCCTCCACGCGCTCCTAAGGCCGTCTCAAGTGGAGAGTTTTGCTATCAGGTGGCTCAATAATGGCTCGCGATGATGTAAGATTAGAAGGGCGAATGAAGTCTGCCTCACGCCCTCTATATATTTCTTTACGCGTTTCTGCCGTTCTAGTCTTCAGCTCATACTCGCGTTCGTCCTTTCTTGACTTGGCGGTCTTGTGGCTGCCTCTTTCTCAATTCCAGCCTACAAAATCACTATATCCCTACGTTTTGTCCAACCACGGAGTCTCTTTGCTACAATTATGGCCTCGCAAGAACCCCTGCCGCACAGCGAGCCCCCAAAGGATCGAAATAGAAAGCGTCTCATAGTCCTCTGCGATGGTACTCATCTAAAGCCCGAGTCGTTTTTGCAACAAGGATTTCAGATAAAACTGACTGCAGCTTTCAGGAACATGGCGAGACTCCACTTCCGACAACGAAAAGGCCAATCCATCAAATGTAACTCGGTTTGCTCGTGCTCTCAGCAAATGGGTCCGAATCAAGAAGGAAGACGGCACAGATGAAGACGTCGAGCAAATTGTATATTACCAACAGGGAGTTGGTACCGGGACTCTGGATCGACTTATCGGTGGTGTTTCTGGCCTAGGTGTCTCCGCCAATGTTCGTGCTGCATATGGCTTCTTGGCTAACAACTACGATCCTGGCGATGAAATTTTCTTCGTTGGCTTCTCTCGTGGAGCCTACACTGCACGTTCGATTGCGGGGCTTGTTACTTCATGCGGGTTGCTCACTAAAAAGGGCATGGATAGTTTTCCTATTCTATACAACCTATATTACAAGGACTACAAGAAGAAGGGATATGCGGAGAAGGAGACGACATTTTTGCGCAGATTGCATGAAGATAGGCTGTTAGAACCGGCCGCAGCACTTGCAGTGGAGGCTATCGCCGTTTGGGATACGGTTGAATTCCATCAGACTTGGATTTCAACGACATGGATAGCGAAAATGCTAGGAATACAGCAGGAAACGATTGAATTCCGTGATAAGGAGCTGTCCCCGAAAGTCAAGTATGGGTTTCACGCCCTTGCGCTGGACGAGACGAGAAATCCATTCAAACCAACGCTCTGGCAGATGCCCAAAGCTCCAAACGGTGCCACGTCAGATGGGTCGAACTTCAGATTGAAGGAGCTGAAACAAGTCTGGTTCTCTGGTAAACATTCAGATGTTGGCGGCGGATATTCCCAGCGCTGGCTTTCTGACATCACTCTTGCATGGATGGTGGCACAATGTTCGCAAAATAACCTGCTCGGATTCGATGAGGATTATCTACTCAGTCTCCCCCTGCCTTCTACTCCCGCAACAGACAAGCCTTGGGGCACCGCGAAGGGCCAAACCACGAGCGACAAGCAGGGTATATCTTGGATAATTGACAAGGCGTCTAGGACGTTACCGCTTCTTAGTTCTTACCGTGCGCCGCTTAGCCAGCCGGATACGAATGAGACCATCCATTGCTCAATTGAAAGTCGCAAGTTCGGCCAGTATCCCGGTTCCGATAAAGCGAAACTATATCCGTGCGGCGCTTTAACGGGTTCCAAAGGACACGGCGGGTGGCAACTGAAGAGGATAGCCGACCTTTATCTTCCTGAGGCCACTGCAAGTAAACTCGAGCAAACCTTTAAGGATCAGATAAGGCCGCCTACGAATCCTTCCGTTATGAATCTTGAACACCATAATTGATCACTAGCCGGGATATCCCAAACCCTAGTGCATACACCATTAATATACGCTGGCCTAGTTAATAAGTTTTCAACACACTCTTTGTACGATGGTTGATACATGATTATAGCATGTAAAAGTGTTGCTTAGGATTTGGTTGTTATTTTTATTAAGAAGAGTGCTCTTAGTCAATCCCACTTATTGATTGCCAAATGAAGGCAAAATTCTTTGCAGAGCCAGAGAGACAGATGTACACCGTTGATATTTATCTCCATTATACGTTCTATACAGGACAAAATTCTGAATTGCAAATCTATTTCATTAGGCTCCATGCCTCCCAACCCCAGCGTTTCATTTTCTGCGCAAAAGGCTCCGGCGGACCACCAGGGCCAGCAAAATTTGACAGGGCTGTCGAGGCTCGGTTCCCACTAATTTGTACTTGACTTTCAGAGTCTCCTGCACTGACCGTCGCTTCTGTTTTCTCCTCATCACCAGGAAATTTGTCTTGTAGTATGTAGACATTAAGGCCGAGAGACGAGACTGGGCGGATGTGCGTCTTATGCCACAGTTTCCATCCCGAGTAGAAAATGCAGAAGAGAAGAGGCTAAGATGCCAGTCAGTGTACGGTTCCAAGTATATCGAATTTAGAGGCGTACCCCAGCATAGGCTCCAATCAAGTCAGCGGCAAGCTGCGTATTGGTTTTAAGATCTTTATCAGCTGCTAAATGGTGTCTGGAATGCAGAATATAAATGGTCGGCCACCCCGAGAAAACGACGATCATTACGCATCCAATAAGTCCTATATAGGCCCACATTGGTTGCCAATGTGCCCGGTAATGCTTACTCATGTAGCGACGTTGGTCTCGTGAGTAAACTTGACGTTTGTGTAGGTAGTCCAGACTTTTTACATTAGTTATTGGTTGCAATTAGGTAGCCTAGGAAACTCACCCGGCTTTGAAACGTAGGAATGCTATACACTCGCTAGCATACACACAGGCAACCGATCCCGTGAAGAAAGCAGAAAGAGATAAGATTGGTTGGTTGAAGGATACATCTGCAAGACCAAGCAATGCTAGGAGGCCGAAGGATGAACAGCAAAGAATAGCTGCGATTGGTGTGTGGCCATTGTTTGTTTTCCCGAGCGTGGACCTCAGGAATTTGTTGCCGTACTGCTGCGCAAGTGCAAAGAGAGTTCTACTCGAGACGAAAAGGCCAGTATTACTAAAAATTATCATTAATATGATATTAAGCCTTAAGGGTATTGTGTATACATACGCTGCAGAATAACCTGATATTAGAAAGCACGCGTTCAAGAAATTGGGCAGGACTTTAATTGCAGTTGACTTGACAACTATAATAAATGGCGAGTGCGAGGTATTCGTATTGCTTAGAGAGTAGGCTCGGAAAAGATCCGGATCTGCGAAGTTGATGTTGAAGCCTACACAAAGGGACGCAAAGAAGTAAAGACTCAGTGGAACCCAATACATGAAGCGTGTAGCAGGTGGGAGGTCCTTGCGTGGTCTTTTAGCCTCACCCGCAGTTACGACGACAATATCTCCACCCTAACACAAGATTAGTACGTATTTGAGATAGCCCGGGAAAAGGTCCCCTTACCATGCAGGCAAACATAGCCAGAGTAGCGGAAGTCCTGCGGGTATCTCGTAAGTTTGGAGGGTCCTTACATGGCACTAAATACGTACCAAACAGCTAAAAATCGCCCGGGAGATCCAGAAATGCCTAGTGACTCATTGTCGTCTGACAGTTCCAGTGTACTTTTGGTTTCGTTGAATCCAGCTGGGTTGAAGTAAGGAGGTAGGGCGTTTTCGCTGTAGTCTATACCCAACAGTTAGCGTTTGATAGCTCTAAACTAGATTCAGGAATACTTACTGCCTACAGCAGAGCCAGTTCTTGCCCCGCCAACTGCTCAAAGAATGTTTAGCTCCTGCTTATCCCGTATAACACAGAATGTTTACCTCCAAGGTTGATTGCGACCATCAATATGCACAAACCAGTGATTAGTAAAAGCTTAAACCATTTAATGACGCGCTCCAATCTTCCGTATGTCTATAAATATTAACCATTGCATTAACTAATATTTTAATTAATCGTCTCACCTTTACCCCGCAAATATTCGAAAGTAATGTTAATGTGAGCAGCCCTACGACAATACCGGCTCTCTTGCCTTTATCAAGTGGTGGGCTTCCTGATGGCGCAAAGTCGTTCGCAATTCTTGCAGCACCTGATGTTAGAGCAGCCATACTCAGACATTGGGCAAGCCAGTACGTAACCGCTACTGCAAACCCCAGGGCAGGATCAACCTCCAACGTGTCAGTAAGAGTAAAACTATCAAGCAACACTGTTTTATACTTACGAAAGTGTGAGGATAGTCAATGAGAGCCCCTGAGAGCGGGCGCACTGAAACTAGCTCAGCCAGCGAACGCATAACTCCAACGACTACGAAGCTTGCGAGTATGAATCCTAAGACACAACCGCCAGAGCCTGCTATAGCTATAAGTTCTCCCGAAGTGACGAATAGCCCAATGCCAATCGTTCCAGATATGGCAATACCTATGTCGCTGTTAGATCCTTTGTTCAGATTCACAACTAAATCTTTGGCTTACTCGTGATGTGATGTCGTTCCAGGGCTCTGTCTAGGTAATCGCGGTGGAAGATCCATTGAGCAACATGGTCGAAAAACCAATTGCTATGCTCATTGCCATGGGCTTCTGATCCGTCGGTTTGGATGGAGTGATCGCTCTGATTGTTGCTGGTGTTGTAAATGGTGGTAGACTGAACATTGGCCACCGTTTTGGCCGGGATAGCGGGTTCGACCGAATCATAGTCATGATCAAATTCTCTTTTATTGGTGGCCATTTTCTAGCTGAGACCTACAGATGGAGCAAAAAGGCAAGTGAAGCGGAATGGGCTGTGCGTTCTCGTGTCGTCCTGGAGTATGCCTT